GTGAAAGCCGAGGCTGAGTACTTAACCCCCCCCCCCCCGTGGAAGACAAGTGACCTCACCAGAGCCAGCCAGCAGCTGGGCCCCGCTCCCCACAGTGCTTCCCTTCCCTGTACCAGCCAGGGTCCGACTAGCCTCACCTCTGCCCTTGGCTTTGTGACCTTGACCTTGGCCTTTTGCTTCTTCCTGTAGTCAGCATTGAAGTGGGCGAAGGCGTACTCCACCAAGGCAGCAAACACGAAGACATAGCAGATCCAGAAGTACACGTCCAGCGCCTTGATGGCCGACGCCCGCGGCAGGGAGGAGCGGGCGCTGACCATGAGCGTGGTCATTGTCAGCACCGTGGTGATGCCTGGTGGGCGCGGTTTGAGGGGTGATCAGAGCTCTATCCCCTCCCCACCCCCACTTCATCTCAGTAAGCCTGGGTCTCAGAGGACAGAGGGCCGAGCAGGTCCCATGCCCCATCCCCGGGATCAGGATCCTCTGGCTACTGCCCCAAAAAGCTGCCATGGGGGGATTGGGGTTCAAGGACTGGGCTCATGGCTGATGGGTCATGGGAAGGGTGAGGGCCCCCATACCTAAAGACACCCTGGCAGGCACTGCTGCCTGGCTGATCCAGAAGGACACCCAGGACATGGCCACCAGGAGGATGGAGGGCATGTAGGACTGGATGATGTAGACACCCCGATTCCTCCGGAGGTGGAAGTGCAGGCTGAGTCGAGGAAACTGGCCAGCTGTGGGGACAGCACCATCAGGCCCAGCCTTTCCTGCCCAACCCATCTACCCCGTGGGACTCAAAGGGAGAGGAGGTGTGGTGGGCACCTGACCCACTGCAAGCCTCAGAAGAAAGGGAGATCCTGAACCCCAGCCTTCCCTACCTGCCCCACACTGGCTGGCCCTGGCATGGAGTGGTCCATACTGCTGGCCTCAAGTGTACAGAAATGGCTCTGAGAGACCCTCCCAGCCAGTAGAAAATGACTCAGTTCCTCTACAATCCCTTGCTCCACGCACAGCCAAGCTCTGGAAGGAGCCAGGCTAGGAGTGGGAGGGGCAGGAGGTGGCAAGACAGATAGGAAGCCAAGGTGGCCAGGGAAGGCTTGTCCCTGAGCTCTGCAGTCCTGGGACTAAAAGAGCCCCCACATACCCAGGTTCCCCCTGAACCTGGAGTTCTAGAAAGCAGAAAGAGCTGGGGAAGAGGTGATGAAACCTGACCTATGTCTGAACAATGGCATGTTCTGAGTCCCTGGCTTGGGAGCAGCCCGTGCCACTCAGCAAGTTCCTAAGTCAGTGGTTTCTCCAGCTGCATCCTTGGGGCCCTTCAAAGCCAGCTGGTGGTTCAGTTAAAAAGCATTAGGAAACCACCGACCAGCTTCACAGGAAGAGGCGGTGCGCAGCCTTGTTACCCGATTTGAAGTTCATGAGCTCCGTGGTGAAGCGGTAGCTGGTGATGGTGAACTGAGCCAGCTGCAGCTTGTCCAGCCCATGGATCTGCTCCTGGTTTTCAGACCAGTAGTACACAATGTCCTCAGAAGAATAGCCATCTGCAGGAGAGTCCACAGGTGGGTATGGGGGCTGGCCCCCAACCCCCGCCATTCCTGGAGGGAGTACCCCATTCACATGAGGAGCCTGAGGGTGGGACTGATGCAGCTATGACCGAGACAGTGCAAGAGCCCAGCCAGGAGCAGTGAGGCTCCGCTCGGGAACCATGTCTGGCATCCCCGGGCAGATGGGTGGGGCCAGAAGTGGTGTCACCATTGTTGGGTGACACACGGGGCTACCAAGCTAGTCCAGTAGCACATTTCTGGGCTCCACTGCCCAGGTCTGCCAGGCAGGACTCTGACCCAGAGGCCCAGTGGCTCTGGGCCTTCCAGCCCCTCCTCTTCCTGCCCGGGCTTCTTGCTCATGTGGTTGCTCACCCTGGATACCCCCTGGGCCGCACCAGTTTTGTCCACCCCCCAAGTTGCACAGACCATGGCCAGTCAAGTCTGAGTCCCTTTTCCTCCCACACAAGGTCACTAGACCAGAGAGGCAGCCTGGACCAGAGAACAGCTTCCACCCTGCCCTGTTGGCACATGCCCCACCCTATCCCACTGCTGAGTACCCCACTCACAGCTCTCCAGATCCAGCATGCACTCCTGTTCATCCATGGGGTACTTGGCCAAGTCCATGTCACAAGCCACTGTGGAGGTGATTCTGCCCGGACAAGCATGTGGTAAGGGCCATGAGGTGAATTCAGCCCTCCTGGAAGCCACCTGCTCACCAGGCCACCTGACCCCAGCTACATCTCGGGCTTTGTTTGCATGTAGCCTGACGTGTGGGTGAAAACTGAAAACCAGTCAACTTTACAGATATCCATGAGTCTTCCTTGAAGACTATTAAGAACTGCATTCTATTCATTTCCTTCATCCTTCAAAATGCCTATTTGACTAAGTTGGGGCCTACAAGACAGGGACAGCCTGAACACCCCAGACTCCAGCCTGAGAAATAGCTAAAGGCCACTTCAGAAACAGGCCCAGAGGCACCAACAGCTCCAATTTCCCCAGAGAGGCCAGGCATTTCAATTCTTATGTAAAATCTCCTCATTTTTAAAATTTTGACAACAAATTTCCACTTTTAAAGACATGCATCTGCAAACAGGTGCCCAGACAAGTATATGAACATACCTGTTCACATTCACCGAAAGGTGGAAGCAACCCACACTCCCAGCAAAACAAACGGGTCTGTCGTGTAATGGAATATATCCAGCATAAGAAGTTATGATGCTCGGACCCATGCTACACACGGTGGAACTTTGAAAACATGATGCCGAGTGAAAGAAGCCAGACACACAAGGTCACATACTATATGACTCCATGTAATGAAATGTTCAGAACAGCAAGTCTGTAGAAGCAGAATGCAAATTGGTGGTTGCCTAGGCCTTCTGGGGAATGGAGAGTGACTATATAAAGGTATAGGTCTCCTCTCAGGGTGATGAAATGTTTTGGAGCTATTAATACATAAAGGTTTGCATAACAGTGAATGTGCCAAATGCCACTAAATTATTCACTATAAAATGAATAATTTTGGGGCCAGCAGGTGGCGTGGACTTTCACATGGCCAACTGTGGTTTGAGTCCAAGACCTGGCAGCTAGCTTTCTCACTTTCTCTTTTTATCTCTCTGGTAAGCACACATGCCCTACAGAAAATTGAAAAATAATAATAGTAAATAAAATTAAATAAAATAAATAATTATTTTTTTTAAAATGATTCATCTTATGTTATATAAATTTTACCGTGCTTAAAAAACAAAAAGGTGGGGCCAGCAGGTGGCATGGTGGTTAAGGTGCTGGATTCCCACATGGCCAGTTGTGGTTTGAGTCCTGGTCCTGGTAGCTTGCTTTCTCACTTTCTCTCTCTCTGTCTCTGTCTCTCTCTGGTCAAGTTAAAAATATAGTAATAAATGGAATTAAATAAAATCATTTTCTTTTCTTTATTTTTCTTTGCTTTTCTTTTCCTTTTTTGGAGAGGTTTTTGCTATAGGGCACATGCACTCACCAGAAAGACAGAGAGAGACAGAGAGACAGAAAGTGAGAAATCACCCCCCAGGGGGGATGGCCATGCTGCAATCCCTTCTCCTCCATTCTCCTCTCGGGATTTTGAGCACATACGCACATGTGCCCAGCAAGAGTTTAAGCCACCGGGTCTGGGACTTGAACCAAGGTTAACTATATGAGAGTCCGGCGACATAGCCATTATGCCAACTGCTGGTCCCGATAAAATCATTTTTTTAGAGGTTTTTGCCTTAGAGTGTGTGTGCTCACTGGAGAGAGAGAGAGACAGAGATAGTGAGAGAAAAAGTGAGAAATCACCTCCTGGGGAGATGGCCATGCCACAATCTTTCTCTATTCTCCTCCTGAGATCTTGGACACACATATACACGTGCCTGGTGTGATTTTCAAGCCACCAGGTCTAGAACTCTAATAGCAGACAGCCATGTGGGAGTCTAGCGACATAACCACTATGCCATTTGCTGGTCCCTAAATAAAATAATTCTTAAAAAAAAAAAAAGGCACTGTATTAAGCAAAAATCCACATCTGTTGGCAACCTGTAGAGCTGATGTTTCATAAGCAGCCACTGGTTGTCAGAGGATATAAATAACGTCAGTTTCTGCCTCTCCTCACTGTCGTTCCCAGCAGAGATGTCCTGGGATTTCTTTGGCCTTGGAACATCCCATGCTGGGACCTGGATGGGCATCCCTCCAGGACACAGAGGGTGTGGGAGGGGGCCCGGGCTCACCGGATGCTGTACAGGATCACGCCATCGGGCTGCAGCCGGATGAGCTTGTTCTCCACAGTCACATCGTGGAACCAGGCAGATTTGGCATTCACAATGAAGGTATCGGGGAGCCAGAGCTTGTCCACAAAGCGGCTGTCCAGGCCCAGGGTCTCATTGGTGTGGTTGTAGGACAGCCTGCTGTCCCGCCAGCTCTGGTGCAGAAACACGGTCATGGTGTACTCCTGCAGAGGGAGACAGGACCAGATGCCACGTCAGCCCTCACTCACTCCGAAAGACACATGGCCCGGGAGCAGAGACTAGCTGGGCACTTACCATGTTTGCCTCTGAGATGTGGTCAATGCTGGCCACCTCCAGGGCGAGAGCCACATTCACAGGGGGCCCTGAAGGAGAGAGCAAAACCAAGGAGGGTGGGGCCAAGGCTGGCCCAGCGTGGGCTCCATCCCAGTACCCCAGCCACCCTGCCAAGACAGGCCCTCCACCTGGCGCGAGTCCAGGGAGGCAGGATGAAGGAACAGAGATCCTGCAGGGAGCACAGGGTGGGTGTGCCGTCCTGGCAGGCAGAGTCTCCTTCCCAGCTATCTTCCTGGGGAGCCTGGTACTTGAGGTCTGATGGAGCCCCACAGAGCAAACCAGGTCTGCTTCTCAGACCAGAGCCCACGGGGGCACACACCCACAGCTGATCCAGAGTGCAGCAGTTCCTGCCTGCCACCCTCACCTCCAATGCCAGGCCGGAAGTTGCGAGCATAGCCCTCCACCAGGCCATCCAGGTTGGGGAGCCAGGAGATCTCCAGGTTGGAGCCCACGTAGTCCCCAATGTCGTTCATCGCCCTGGGACACAAGAACAACTGGTCACAGACAGGCAAGGCACCAGGAACTGAGTCTGGGTTCTTCCTGGGGTGGATGCTGTCCTGAATTTTGGGGTGCAGTTCAGCCCAGTTCAGGTGAGCAGATGGAGGGGTGAGCGGGTGGAGGGCTGCTGGGGGGGCTCTGCGCTCTGGTGGTGCAGTGCGTGTGGAGCCCAAGGTGCCTCCACACTCTTCCTTGAGCAACGTGTGGGTCACTCCTTGGCCCTTGGGATGAGTAAGGCAGCCACAGGCCAGGCTGGAGCAAATTCCTATGAGCCTCCTCAGACACAGGAAGGCCCCGGGCAATCTTGGGCCTCATGCACCCACCTTTCTTCTTGGCCTTTGGCCCTGCCCACTTGTCTTAGAGGAAGGCTACCCAGAGTCAGAATCTATCAGCATGGGCTGAGCCCCAGGCTCACTCCACAGCCTCCCATGGCTCCCACCACAGTGGACCAAGATAGGACAACCGTGAGGACAAGCAGGTGGCCTCCACCAGAATCCTCATCCCTGAGGTCCCTCATGTAGAGGTCTCAAAGGATCCCCACCAGAACACAAGACCTCCCTGTCAGCTTCCAAGGGGTAAAACTTCCCCCAGGAGATTTTGGGAGAAAAGAGTGACCAGGAGGCTGGGGGGTAGGACAGGAAGAGGGCAGTGCTCCAAACCCAGGGCCAGAAGTCCTGTTCTCTGTCCCCTCCCAGACAGGCTCAGACGAGCCCTGAATCCCTGAATGACCGCGTGTTTCTGGGGCTTAGCCTGACCCTGGAGCAGCTGGGGCAGCTAATCACATTGCAGTCTGGGCTGCCTTGCTCATCCCAGCAGAGCAAAGGGGTGCCACTGAAAGCGGCAGCATGAGTGAGGGAGGCATCTCGGGTCTCTCACATAGCAATTCCTCCAGAGCAGAGCCCCCCGCAGCCCTGCCCACTTGCCTCTTCCTCTGCTCGCCGGAACTGAGCAGGACAGTGTCCCTACAAAATCCATGTTCACCCAGACTCTCAGAATGGGAGTGGGGCCTTTGCAGACGTAGTTGAGATGAGGTTATATTAGGGTGGGTCCTCGATCCTGTGACCGTGCCCTCGTAAGAACAGAAAACAGAAGGTCATGTGAAGGCAGAGGTGGAGGCTGGAGAGATGCGTCTATACACAGGGACCAGCACTTCCAGACACCACCAGACGAGGAGAGAAGTGGGATGGATTCTCCCTCAGAGCTTCGAGAAGGAACCAGCACTGCCCATACCTTGATTTGAGACTTTTGATGTCCAGAATTACCTATGAGAGAGTCAATTTCTGAGGTTTGAAGCCGTCTACTATCTACTGTGGTCACTGTTAAAGCAACGTTAGAGCAACCCCAGGAAACCAACACTCCATGCTCCTGTCCACGGGTGAAGTCAGACCACAATGCGGGAGGGCAGTTTCTCCTAAAGCTGAGTGGGGGTGGAAGAGGGGCACTTGAGGGTGACTCTGTGCTGTTCCAAGGGGTATGGGAGCAACTTTAGACAAAGCCTCTGGGTTACCACAGCCCCAGCTTAGCCCAAGCCCTCGGAGGATAAGTGACCAAGTCAATCAGCCCCTCCCCCTGCCCCAGGCAGCTGTGGCCCCAAGTTAGACAGGGCCTCTAACCTGGATGCCCCTCACTGGGCCACCCAAGCCAGACCAGCTCAGGAGGACCGCGGTCTCCCAGCAGTGCTGCACTTTCCCTCCTAAGGGAAGAGAGGTGGGGAGAAAGACCTGCAGGCTTATCCTCAGCTTCTGCTCCCTCGGGAGCAGCCTGGGTGTGAGACACCCCCACGATACTTCTTCAGCACTCCTCTCTCCACTCCTTCCTCTTCCCGCCCACCCCTCCATCTCCTAACTCTCTCCATCTCCGGCCTCTCCCTGCCTACGTGCCTGCTCATTCCTCCAGACCTTCTGAACCCCTCCCCTCATCCCTGAGTGTGGGCGCCCCCACCACCTAACCTTCTATCACCTCTCTAAGTCCTGCCTTAAGACATAGCCCCAAGCACCCCTCAGGAAGTAGTTCTTAACCATTCCTTCATTCACCTGTCCACCCAGCAGATGTCTGACAAAGTGACCACTCAGTGCTGGTCGCATTCTAGAGATGACTAAGCCATGAACAGAGTTACAGCCCAGGCCCATGTGGAGGTCCAGGTCTTGGGGATAGTGACAAACAAGTGGTTTTAAGTGTGATGAGTATTACAGAGAGGGAAGGGAAGAAACAGACTCCCTGAGAAAGTGACAAAGATGCCCAATTCGTGAGGACACAAGTGTCCAAGGAGAGGCCAAGCAGGGCTGCAGTGAGGGTGCTGAGCTGTGGGCGCTGGGCAGGGCACGCTTCCAGGCTGAGACAGGAGTAGAGATAGAAGGGGCAGACTTGAAGGGCGCAGGATAAGTCTGCAGCCTCCATCCAGGCCAACGATGGGGTTCTGAACACAGATCAGGTTCAGACTTTAAATACCCAGTTCCGTGTCCAGGCCTTTACATGCATCCTTTCTGTTCCTTAGGCTTTACTCTTGGTGGGTTATAGGACCAGCCCTGCCTCCGTGCTGCCCCATGGAGGGGCTGCCTGGGCCCCTTCCTTTCAATCACAGACACTTTTCTTTTGTGTATTTCATATACTGCCCTTCTGAAGAGGTTGACTTTGACCCAGAAGTTCCTGATCAAGTGAAATTCTGCAAACCCGTGATCTATCCCGCAAGGTCCCTTTGGCACATCACCATGGTCAGTAGGAGCAACTTTAGACAAAGCATCCGGGTCTCCTCTCTGTTAGGACAGACACTGCTCCCTGCTGGTCCCCCTGGGTGGTGGCCAGGTGCAAGGCTGGGGACAGGACAGGGACTTCGGTAGCAAAAAAAGAGATGGAATTAAATTAAGTCTGGTCCAAATTAAAAATGCAAATAGAAGTCACCCTGAAGGTCAGATGTAAAGGCATTTAAATGAAGCTTTATTTTTGGACCAGCCCATCTGCCATCCAGCCTCTTGGAATAAGGCCATCAGGAGGCTCCGTCCTTCCTGGGCTCCATCTCTTGCCTGTCTCAGAGTGGTGGTACATGCCCCAGGGGGTGCAGAGGGGCAAACCACAGAGGGCCCACTCAGGGGCAAGGCCAGGAGTAAGCCTCTGCCAAGAAGCTCACCTCCACATGGCAGAACAGTGGCCTTTGCTATCTCCTGGGGGCCAAAAGAGGAGGTACCCCACTCCACACCACTTACCTCCTAGTAGAGTGGCCAGTCGTTTGCCAGCTGGGAACTAATGTGAAGGGCCAAGGTGCCAGGAAGATTTGCTTTGTGTGAAACTCTCAGCTCAGGAAGCTCAGAGCAGGCAGAGCTGATGGGTGGGTGGGCTACAGGCTCTGCACTTAGGGAGCTCGGCACGGGTCAGGGATGTCTTGAACTCTGCCTGGTAAGTCACAGCTCTTGGGAGAGAGCTGCTGGTTCATCAGGTGGCTTTGGAACCCAGCAGTGAGCAGCAGCCCAGGACTGGGGCTTCCTTTACGTAGATGGACAGAGAAACTCAGACATATTCAAGGCTCCAAGTCAGATTTAGGAATTCAAACAATGGGGAGAGTAGATACCTTCCACCTTGCATTGCTCTGGATGTGGGTCAAACCTCCTACCCCTCCTGGCCCCCCTGAGAAACAAACCCACCTCTGTTACTTGTCTGTGCCTGGGGGACAAAAAGGAAAGGTAGGTGTAGCTGAGCGAGGCAGTGGGATCCTCCTCCCTCTGAGGAGCCTTCCACCCAGCACACACAGCCCACGAATCCTGACAGCTCTGCTTTTAGAGCAACACAAGCCCCACCAACATCACAGTTACCAAGGCAAAGAAGAGCACCACGGCAGTCGTACAGAGCTGGTGAGGCAGGAGATGCAGCACAGCTTCCCCAGGGAGACAGAGGAGCCAGCAGCCCAAGAGGGCCACCCACACGGGCATGCAGTTAGCAAGCTCAGTGCCTGCTGTGCGTGCAGGTCCTCAGACTCAGAGGTCGACCCACAAGCCCGCATAGTACACACCCTTCTTATCTCTCCAACCCATTCTCTCTAGGAGATGCTGGGATGTGGACTGTGGAGTGACAGCCAGAACAGGTGCCACTGTCCTCCAATACCACTCCTGGGACAAGGACCTGGAGACTGAGGGAAGGGAGGGCAGCTGTCCTGGTTTCTGGAGTCAAGGAGACACAGGCGTGATGGAAAGGAAACCCAGCATGGACAGCACCATGCTACATCTGAAGGTCATCTCCAAAGGCTGAGCTGGAACTACTTCCCTGCTCCTTTCTACCTTGGGGAGACCCTTCAGACCTGCCCCACACCATGCCATTGCCAAGCTAAAGTCAAGAGCAGCAGGTAGAGCCCGGCACACGTGCATGGCCACAACCCTCTGGATAGACTTTCAAATGTAGCAAGGAGGTAACTATTTTTAACAAGAGGATGAGCTGGAAGCTCAGCAGAGCAGTGCATCCATGCTGTGCGGAGGGCCCTCCCCCACAGCACCCCTTTCCAGAAACAAAGCTGATGGCAAGGCCCAGAGGCTCTCCTCCCCGGGGGGCCTTCCAGATTTCCAGACCAGGTAAACAGGCCCACAGTCCCTGACCCAACACCCCAGGAGTCAGACACAGGACAAGATTCAGAATTTTTCATGTTGAGAAAGGGGATATGGGAGAGGGCTGGAGAATTTCCCAGCAGGAAATGTATAAATAGGCCCCTTAAGTAGGATAAATAAAGACAAAACGAGCTGCCTCATGTCAGTGCAGAACAGGATTTGCCACCGAATGAGTTTTGGTGTCAAGCTTGGGATAAGACGTCGAGGTTTCAGAGCTGTCTGGATTTCAGACTCTCAGCTAAGCAGCCGTGGGTCAGAGTCAGCAACCAACCCCAGTACCTCCAGCACATGCGTCTACTGCTGTGCTTCAGCTCTTTGCCCATCTTGTTGCCCTGACTAGGGAGAAGAGAAAGGTCCATCAGGACTGATGGAAGAACAAAACTCTTCCAAGGACAGGGGCATCTAGAGCCTCATGGGCAGTGCTGACCCCATGGTCTCCAACCAGAGGGCCACATCTAGAGCCAGACCCGGGCCTTCTGGGCTCTCTCTCCCCACCCCAGCAACAGGAAATCCTTATATCCCTGTCCCCCATGTTTCGAGCTGAGTGCCAGCTGATACTCGACCACTTCTGGTTGCTAAAAGTCTTCCACAGCCATCAGTTCTTTGGCCATGACCTCTGGAATGCTGGAAGATCTGTTTTTGCTGTTTATTTTCTGCAACATTTGCATGGAGATCATTACCCCCAAAAGTCCCCTCACTGGCTTCTCACGACTCCCATGGAAAGTTCCCTGACTGCTGTGCCCCAAATGCCCAGGTAACTCAGGAACGTGGTTCAGTTCCCAGAGAGGAGAGAAGAGAGCTGGGGACTGAGCTAGTGGCTGGAAGGGAGATTCAGCCCAGGGGGACCTTTCTTAGGCTTCTCTGGGGAGGAAGGCTCTCTTCCAACAGTTAGCAAGAAATCCTGAGTCTCTTTCCTGCTGCCAGAAGCCCTGGCTGCCAGGCACCTACCTACTTGAGAGTTCAGGCTATGGCATTCGAAATGGCTCCTGAAAGGAGACCCCATCACATTCTAGGCTCCTCATCCCTTAACAATGGATACACGGCCCTTAGGATGTACTTTCCCCGTGGCCGTCCCAGACCTGCAGCTGAAAAAAAAAGCTCGTTCTGGTTCTGTGCTCCGTGGGAAAGAGAGCGGCCTCATCCCCAGGGCTCTAGGATCTTTTCTTTCTTCCTGCCTGCACCGCGAGCCATGCTGAGCGCTCGGCTCCGCGCCTGGAAGGGTGCCAGCCAGAGGGGGACCGGCCAAGTGCTGATGAGGGCCGAGGACACAAGGACCTCTCCACTAGAGCTGCGGAACCTGGAAGAACCAGGAGTGGCTCCGAACCTCGTCTTGCTGGTGGCGCGGCGTTCAGCACCGGAGCTGCGGACAGCACCCAGGGGTGGCCAGAGCGAGGGAGAACCCGGGAAGGGTAGACAGGGTGCAGGAGACTTGGGGGTCCAGATGCCCGAGGTTTGAGCCAGCTTCTATCCCAGCAGCTCTGTCTCTGACCGGTATGGGAGTCCTCGGAGGGTGCCCCTGGGTGGAGGAGTTCCTGTCCCCTCTCGACTCTCATTTCCCCCTGCCCCCAGGAGCAAAGTGCCCGCTCACCTGGTGCCGCGGTGCTGCTGTGCGCAGAGCGCTAGGAGCAGAGGCAGCAGCCAAGCCAGTGCGTCCATAGCCTCGGCGTGATGCGCTGGGGACCAGGTCGCCGGCCTCGGGCGCACACAAAGTTGTTTCGCCCGCTGTCGCGGCCGCGGCTCAGGCGAGGCGGGAGCTGGAGAGATCTCGGTGCTG